GGAGTCTGGGTGCCGGGTGCTCTCAGCAGCCAGCGACAGCTGTCCCTCTGGACGGCTTTGTCCAGAAGCCCCAGCGCCTCTCGGCTTCTACACCCCTGCTTCCTACAGGGAGAGGCCCAAGTGCAAAACAACAACACGACAAACACAATGGACGAGCCCTTCGCAGCCTCCAAAGGAAGAAAGGACAATGGGAGGTGATGTAAGGGCCACTGAACAGCCAGTGACTCAGCGCTTCTGCGCCATCAACACCAGCTGCAGCGGGTGGCGGCGGCGGTGGTGGCGGTGGCGGTGGTGGCAGCGCACGGACAGCCACACACACACACACACACACACACACACACACACACACACATACGCACACATGCACACACGCACATGCGCTGTGCGAGCATCCCACCGCCTGGGAGGGGCAAAAATTCTGACTGTGCTGCAGACAAGACACCGAAGCTAAGATTTCTGCTGCTGGGAGCCTGGCAGAACGTGTGAGGCTGCTGCTTATTCCTTCCGCTTCCCGGTCACATCTTCCATCCAGACTCGCCCCCTGAAGGTGCCGACACGGGTCCCTGGGGGCGAATTTCCCAAACGGATCCAGAGCCCACCTGCAAGCACAGCTCTGCCTCATCCTGACTCTCTGGACTGGGCGATCACATGATACAATCTGGTCGGGGTGGTACATTTCCGTGTTGGCTCCTCGGGGAGACTGGGCTGGGGGAATCATGGAGGGGCTGGGAAGGTTTTGCACAGACGACACATGGGAGGGGAATCTGTCCCAGGGGATTTTTTAAAATATATTTTATTGATTTTTTACAGAGAGGAAGGGAGAGGGATAGAGAGTGAGAAACATCGATGAGAGAGAAACATGGATCAGCTGCCTCCTGCACAGTCCCTACTGGGGATGCCCGCAACCAAGGTACATGCCCTTGACCGGAATCGAACCTGGGACCCTTCAGTCCACAGGCTGACGCTCTATCCACTGAGCCAAACCGGTCAGGGCTGTCCCATGGGATTTTGACTCAGGCCATCACTCTGTCTGCAAATGAAGAGATGCATTTTTAAATTCAGCCTTAACTACAATTTGAGTCCTCAAAGTAACCCTGCCCCTGAGAACCCTGCCGATGGGGCTGGTCCCACAGGCCCACCGTTAACCACCAAATCCACACATCATACCAGCTCCCCTCATCAGAAGTTACTCAAAAGCCGCTTAATTTTAAAAAATATTTCTTATTGATTTCAAAGAGGAAGGGAGAGGGAGAGAGATATAAAAACATCATTGATGAGAGAGAAGCATTGATCTGCTGCCTCCTGCACGCCCCCTACTGGGGATTGAGCCTGTAACCCGGACATGTGCCCTAACCAGGAATCAAACAGTGACCTCCTGGTTCATAGGTCGATGCTCAACCACTGAGCCACGCCAGCTGGGCTGGGTCTGTTATTTTTTGTTTCAGCCTCATTTAGGCACCTGATGCCATTCTCCTTGGCTGCTCCCCCAGCACAGATTCTCCCTCTATGACCCCTGCATCCCCACACCGTCTCAGGCCACCTCGAACCGGAGTTAGTGTCTCCTGGCCCGCGCTCTCTGTCACAGGCCCTGCTCTCCGTGGGAGGACAGTTCTTTTCTAAAGGGAGTCTATTTCCTCTCTCCACCTATTCCCACTGCCAAGGCTGCTGTAGCTTTCTCAGGGGTTCCCCCAATGAGACTTCTTCTCTTGCAAGACCTGATGCCAAAGAGGACCGCCCTCCACCCCAGCCCTGCCCCCCTCTGAGGGAGGGCGTCCAATGACAACTTTCCTCACCAACTCCCCTCTGTCTGTTTTCCTGATCCTTCCTGACCCCTTCCTGGGTGGGAGCTCTTAAGGGTTGTGAAAAACAACTTTCAGATATTGCCTTTGAAATTCTACATATGGCCCGCGTTACAACACACATACCTCACACAAATGCACAGTGAGCCCTTACTTAATACAGGGACAGGTCTGTGCCTGTAAGCGAAACAACATCTAAGAAAAACAGATTTCAGATTGTGAGGCACCTCATCAACATAATAATGAAAGGACATGGACCGAACCAACTGCCGAGACAAAGACCGAAATTCCGGGGACCTAACGGCTGTACTGTCGAACCCAGCACCTGTGGGCACCCAGCGTTGTCATCTACAAAATGAAAATAGCAATGCCTGCCCCTCTCGCCACAGAAGCAGCGGTGGGATTTGGACACAACCGGCTCGAGTCTGCGTGGGAAAGCCATGCGCATCTTTTCCCAACGCCCAGGCTCCGTGATGTCACAGCAGGAGCCTGAAGCCAGCCACAGCGAGAGTATTTACACCATGGGAATGAGCAAGTGCTACAGGCTGGGCCTTCTCTCCTTCCCCGCCCGGAGCTTGTTATTACACACTTACCGGCCTACCAGCCGCGCATGCGATTGCAAACGCAATAAATCTCACTGCTGCATATTTTCTCCGTCTGGGGCTTGCACTGCACATAGACGTGTTCCCGGGCGTGGCCAGCCAAGCGGTGCCGAGGGGAGGACAATAGAGTCAGTTCTCAGGGCCTGAGGAAGCACCTGTTTTCTAGAAAAAGTAATTTACCAAAACGTGGGGGAGAGGAGTGGCCTGATTCCTCAGAGTGGGACACAGCTTGGGGTGGGAGGCTGGAGTGGTCCCCGCAGGCCAGGCGGCTTCCCATTTGCAGGCCTGGACGGGTCTCAGCTCTCGCTGGTGCCCAGAAGCAAGGAACATGCACTCCAGCCCCACAAGCAGGGTGGGCTCCGCGGCTCCATAGCTGTGCTCAACCCTCTGCCCTCTGCAGGCATCAGAACCTCGGGCAGGGAAGGCCACTGCACAAGCAGGAAACAGGGGGGCTTCAGGAGCCGTCGGGGATGGGGGACGCCTTCCTGGGAGCTGGCCAGGCCGGGAGGACCTTTGTCGCCTGCCCCCGGGAGGCATCCAGTCTAGGTTATTGCTCATCTGGCTTCACATCCCAGTGCAAGGATGGGTGAGACTTGGAGGACAAGACTCAGGGTGTGAAGGGCCAGTTTCTGCCTGTGCAATGATGACGTTCCCTGGAGAGGGTAGGGGACAGAGAGAGCCTGTAACTCATCAGCACAACAGCCCGTGGCAGTGACCCAGTGCGTCCAGGCTCCTCGAGGAGCACGGAGGAGCTGCGGGGGGCGGGAGGGGGGGGGACAGAGCCCTGCCCCCGCTACAGGTGGACTGCGTCAGCACATCCCCGACCCCTGGGACCCACCTGAGAACACATCACCTTGACTCCTGCGGTAGGACAGCTTTTCCAAGCCAGTTCCACTCCGTGTTCTTTATTTCTCCAGGTGTGTTTTCTTCGCGGACTCATTACCTTTCCTGAAATTAGGTCTCATTGGATTTGTTCTTTTTCTACCAGCCCGTATCGCCCCATTAACTTTCTAATACTGTTAGGGAGTCTTTCAATTATGTTAGAAATGAAGTCAGATTTGCAATCCTTAAAAATGTTTATTTAAATTTCCAGGCAAGTCCCCTTGACCTGGTTTCCTTTTGTCCTCTTGGGGCACAGAATCCCTGATGACACCCCTGGACTCACCGCAGGACCGAAGGACACCCGTGTCAAAGGGCAGGGGGCTCTGGAAACTGCGGAGGGACAGAGCCTGAGAGGAGCCGTTTCTTTCCCAGGTCACAAATGATGTGGGGAGAGGTGGCCGAACACCAGCCTTGCTTGTTGTTTACTAAACATCAACTTAGGAGAGTAGAGGCATGAGGAAGGGGGGATTAAATTCTCATTTAAAGAAATGCATTTGAGCCCTAACTGGTTTGGCTCAGTAGATAGAGCGTCGGCCTGCGGCCCGAAAGGTCCCAGGTTCGATTCCAGTCAAGGGCATGTACCTTGGTTGCAGACACATCCCCAGTAGGAGGTGTGCAGGAGGCAGCTGATCGATGTTTCTCTCTCATCAATGTTTCTCTCTCACCGATGTTTCTAACTCTCTATCCCTCTCCCTTCCTCTCTGTAAAAAAACCAATAAAATATATATATATTTTAAAAAGAAATGCATTTGCTTTGAATGTTGGGTAAACAGCCTCTCTATTAGAGAGTAGTGATAACTTATATATTTCAACATCCAAATTTAGAAAAGTGAAATTTATGAAGCCAAAAGCTGATATGAATGAGGCTCAGATCAACACCTCCAATCACCCCTCCCCCCCGCCCCCCAGGCATTCTTAGGCTTAAATGGTACCTTTCCCAGTAAGGAATATACCTGTCAAGAAAGACTCCTTGTGGTTAATTGGGCCCATATTCATAATCAGAGTCTAGGACAGTGATGGCGAACCTTTTGAGCTTGGCGTGTCAGCATTTTGAAAAACCCTAACTTAACTCTGGTGCCGTGTCACATATAGAAATTTTTTGATATTTGCAACCATAGTAAAACAAAGGTTTATATTTTTGATATTTATTTTATATATTTAAATGCCATTTAACAAAGAAAAATCAACCAAAAAAATGAGTTCACGTGTCACCTCTGACACGCATGTCATAGGTTCGCCATCACTGGTCTAGGAGCTGCTGTGTACATGGGACTTCGCATGCACATTAAATTTCAGAAAAAGGCCCTAGCTGGTTTGGCTCAATGGATAGAGTGTCAGCCTGCTGACTGAAGGGTCCCAGGTTCGATTCCGGCCAAGGGCACATGCCTGGGTTGTGGGCTCGATCCCCAGTAGGGGACATGCAGGAGGCAGCCAATCAATGATTCTCTCTCATCATTGATGTTTCTATCTCTCTCTCCCTCTCCTTTTCTCTCTAAAATCAATAAAATATATATTTTTTTAAAAATTTCAGGAAAATGCCACAGACTGGGCTGCCCAGCCTCCTGCACTGTGCTCCTGTCCACTGAGTCAACCCTTATAGGAAAGCTTCTAGGATGGAAATCTGAGAACTAGGACTGAGACTTCTCCCATCCAATCAGAGCTGCACAGCTACAGCCTCATTTGCATTTGACTGACCAATCACAGAGCTCCATTCTGACTAATCAGGACAGTGCTCTTTGGATCAATCTGTGAGGATTTGGAGTTCTTATCTGCATAGAAATGAACCAATCAGGAACTGGGGGCAGGCATTCTTCTCTATATAAGCCAGCTTCACCTCTGCCTCAGAGGGGCAACTTTTGGTTTTCTCCATAGGCTGTGTGTCCTTGACTTGCATACTGTTCACCTGAATAAAGTCTCTCCTTTTACTGCACCCCAAATCGGCATAGGATTGGTGGCAGCCGCCTTTTGTGGACAATCATGATTCCAGATCTGGAGGTAACAGGGCTTCCTACAACCGAAAGCATTTGGTTACAGCCTTGCCCCCAGGCTGACTCTCCATGAACTCTCACAACAGAGATCCCAGGCTCAAACAACCTTGTTGGGGCTGACAAGAACCTAATGGTTCCACCAGGCCAACTTAAACCTTTCTGAGCTTAAGTGGGTGAAGAAAGACTGCCTCTACCCCCAAGTTGTTATGTATATTACTATACTACCATCTAATGGCAAGGTGCATTAAAACATAAATGCAAGCTAGTCCAGGGACCACTGACTAACTACTCTTAACTTTTTTTTTTTCATAGCAAATAGTTATAATGTCTCACTCTATCCCTCCAGATAAGTCACCAAGTGGTCCCCATAGTTCATTAAAAAATGGCCCCAGATCCAAGTTCCTGGTAGAGAGAAAGTCATGAAGTCTAATTGGACTATCTGAAAAAAGAGTATATCAGCAGCAGGAAGGACAGAAAGATTTGTAAAACACCCCAGACGTGTGAAAGCTAAGAGAAATCATTATTTAAGATAGATGTTTAAGCTTTCCTATAAATGAGAATTGAGTAACAACAGGATTTTTAGAATATAGAGAAAAGGCTAAAAAAAAAAAATTAAACCATAACCCTACGCAGAGACTATCCACTGTTCTAAAAATAAAGTCCCATAGAGAAAATTAAGTTTTTTGCTATTTAAGAAAACGATAGCATATTACCAACCCTTTGACCTCTGTTCCTGCTAGTCAAGATTTTAGATTATTAAAATTTACTTGGGGATTTTCCTCCCCGTGTTCAGTGTTGGAAGTGAAGATTGTTTAAGGAAATTTACTGAGCAAT